CCCGCATTCCCTACCTTCATCTTTTTCGCCTCCTGCCCTGTCTGCCCATACCTACCCTTACCCTGTGCCCCCAGCATGTCAGAGCAGTCAGGTTTGAACAATCAGTATGGCTTTAACTCAGATGATAAATTAGATATGATTTAGACAGCTTAGATTATAACTCTGATTTCCCTTATTGTCCCTTTGGAGCCCTGAACCAATTAAATGTTCCCTCCTCCTCCCCCACCCTTGCCAAGATCCCCTACAAGTTACCTCTGGGTCAGCCTCAGCAACCTGAAGGTGTTCAGGAGCAGGTAGGTTCTGCAAGCACCAGGATTCTATCAGGTTCAGGGCTGGATGGTGAATCTCTCCCAACAGGCAGTATTTTCTTGTGTCGTCTTCTGTTACTGAAGTTTTTTAGACTGGCTAGAATGGCGATTCTCATGTTTGTCTGCGTGATATGACATCGGAAGTCAGTGTCCTTTGTGAAACACCAGTTTCTCAGTATTGCTATGTCTATTCACACATACTTCCTTGTTAATGCTGTTCAGTAAAGAACAGCTAATTATGTTCTTCTCTAAGAGGTGGATAGTCAGCTTTAGCTGTAGCAAAATAAGGATATTCAAATACCTTTGCGTACAGCATACATGAGTACTTTTCAGTAACTTCTACTATTGATTATTATTACTTGGCTAACTGTAATATGACCTACAGAGCTTCCAAGTAATTACAAGTGCTGCTAGCACTGGTCTAGTTACCCTTACTAAGTACCTGTAGCTCTTGGGGGGATTAGAAATATTTCTGTTAATCCTCTAAAAGAACATGTTAAAGGGTTTCTAAGTACCCCCAGACTCCTTTCTTTCTGTCCTTTTATGGGATCCTTGACTCAGTCTTGCTCTTCCGTCTGTTGCCAGGATAGACATTCAGTTCAGGAAATATTTATTATGTGCCCGGCCTGGGAAAGTGAAGATAAGATGCAGGCCCTGCCCTAAGGGACACCCTGGCTGGTAGAGAAACAAGTGTTCTGATGGACATGGGCCTGGACGTAGTCCTTCCCTTGCTGTCACATCTCATTACCTCATTTGTAAAGTTAGCTTCCAGGTGACTTAGTTTTTAACAAGCTCCAACGCATTCTTTAGTTATTCTTCCTTCCTAATTAATGTCACCTGTAGTACATTATAATCTTTCCTAAGAAGGTTCCCATAAAAAAACAACAACAACAACAAAAACCTTTAGCCCTCCTTGTGTTTCTGAAAGGGGCTGGATTCCTTTCCTTTCTGAACTTAAGTACTTTAACACAATAGATCCATCTTTTATATAGGATACTCTTAAATATGGATTTCCTAAAAAATACTGTTACTGTCTGAAATCCTATTGTTCTGATATACACTCAAAGGGTGGAACAATGGCCTTTATAACTGCCAGGGAGACACTGAGCTCTATAATTTTGACTGACCAGGCTATCAGTAAGTGCTCATTAATGAAATAAAGGGCTTGGAAGCATTCTAATGCCTTAGTACAGGGGCTTCTAAGACCAGGGCGTCAGATGAACCCAGGCCTTACTTATTATTGATAACAATGAATGATAAATCAGGAGATTAAAGCTGAGGCACAAATCTTGTGGTTCAACTTGGAGATGGGTGTATATTGATGTTTTATATTTTTCCTTGGTTAATAATCATCAAATGTTCTTATTTGGTTGTATATTTTTAATGGAATTAAACTTAGAATCAATTACATTAAATTACTAGATTGACACTGACATGAAATTAATCATCACACGAATAGTAGCTATATGACTAAGGCTGACTGGCCTCCTGGTTAATAATTAGGTAAAACTTTAATTAGTTGAGGCATACTCGAGACAATAGGGCCACATACTGGATATCTGGGATATGGCATTTTCCTCTTTAAAAGCCCTGTAATTCTTCTTTTCTAACATGTCTATAGTATGGGCAGGGGGAAGATATGTTTGGCATTGACAGTGGAGTAATCTAGATTTGCTGGACTGGATTTATTCACAAGAAATTTATTATTTACTCTGCTTTCCTCTGCAAGATTCACACCCTTTCTCTCATTCTGGGAGCTACCCTTGGTCATTCTTTCCTAGGTGGGAGCTTACAGGCTGCTATATCTGAAAACACGAAGTCTGGCAATCACTTTGAAGAGCCAAAACTCAAAGACATCCTTCTGCAGATTTCTCTTGGGCTCAAGTACATCCACAACGCTGGCATGGTGCACCTGGACATCAAACCAAGTCAGTATGCTCCCCTCTGCCCCTCCAACCGTATTTAGTTCTTTCCTCCGTCTTGTCAGAATCGGTGCCTATCGGTCTATCAGTGTCAAAGATGCTGTTTGCTGGCAGAGTGCTTTTCTTTCATTTGTTTCCTAAACAAATTCAGTTAAACAGCTTTCACCATTTTCTCCCAGGGCACATGGGACAGAGAGAGAAAAGACTTTCTCAGATAGTGAAACCAAAGTATGGAAATAATTATTTAATTTGCCACATAGATAAGTGACAACATATTGGCTACATCCTGACTGTGTTTACTGGTGCTACACCCTTTCTAATTCACACTGATTGAAGTGAGCAGAAATGGATGCTTTGGGCCCTCATCAATATGAAACTCAAGGAACTGTCGTTACTGTATTACATGTTTTTCTTATTTCTTTGTTTTGAGGATACTAGCCTCTTCAGAGGATATTTGAAATCAGTTTCACTTATCAATTACTGAGCTGTTCATAAGTAGTGTGAGAGATTCCAGGGAAGAAGAGGCCCCTTGTACTGTTGTTACAGGCGCAGAAGAGGAAGAGAGGAAGGTGCTGTAGTGGCAGATGCAAAAAAGAGTCTTTGGGGTGAAAAAACATAGGAATCATTATTTATGTCAATTCTATATTTTTGCAGGTAACATCTTCATTTGTCATCAGATACAAAGGGACTCTCCTATAGTCCTAGAAGACATTGAAAATGATGCTGATTGGTTTCTCTCTACCAATGTGATATACAAAATTGGTGAGTCTGCCTTATACTCTGACCTGTATTCTATTACCCTATAAAATGTATACTGATGACTCCATTTACTCCTGTTTTAAGAAAGACATGCTTGTAAAGAGCTCTATTTCTTTTTGTTTTTTGTTTTAGGAGACTTGGGTCTTGCAACATCAATAAGTGAACCCAAAGTGGAAGAGGGAGATATTCACTTCCTGGCTAAAGAGATTTTGCAAGAGGTATAGATTAGGGAAACGGAGGCTATTTTATAATTCATTTAACCTTTTGACTCTCAAATGAAAGAAATAGAAAGTATATATTTATAATTTAAATTGATATTATCCCTTTTCCTATTCAGTATGGAGACCAAAACTAGGAATTTTTCCGTAAAAAGGCATGAGAAAGCTGGCTATATTTGTACTGTTCTTTGTAAAGGTCCCTTACTGTTTCTAGTATTTCTTAGAATTCCCAAACTCCTGGATTGCTTAGTAGGAAGAAAGAATTGATTGGTCCAGTCCATCTTTATCCTACTACTCTCCTGTTGGCAGCATATCAGCTTTGGTCATTGAAATGACCTTTAGTTATTACCTACCTTCTAGGACAGTGGTTCTCAACCTTCTGGCCCTTTAAATACAGTTCCTCATGTTGTGACCCAACCATAAAATTATTTTCGTTGCTACTTCATAACTATAATGTTGCTACTTTTATGAATTGTAATGTAAATATCTGATATGCAGGATGGTCTTAGGCGACCCCTGTGAAAGGGTTGTTCAACCGCCAAAGGGGTCGCCACCCACAGGTTGAGAACCACTGATCTAGAGGCTGGACTTGATTTTTTTCTTTTTGCTCTGCTTTGCCAGAATATATGAGCTGAACTGAGCCCAGCACAAGGAACCATGCCTGGTGAGGGCACTAGAGTCTAGGTCAGGGATGGTGAACCTTTTGAGCTCGGCGTGTCAGCATTTTGAAAAACCCTAACTTAATTCTGGTGCTGTGTCACATATAGAAATTTTTTTTATATTTACAACCATAGTAAAACAAAGACTTATATTGTTGATATTCATTTCATATATTTGAATGCCATTTAACAAAGAAAAATCAACCAAAAAAATGAGTTGTCATAGGTTCGCCATCACTGTCCTAGACAGACAACAGGAAAGCATGCCATGCCCTCTTCTTCAGAAAGGCCAGGCTCCCTCTCCCTGGAGCAGGGGTGTCCTCTGGCAGCCCAAGGTTTAAGAGGTGTCTCTCTGGTCCTTTCTGTGTTTTATAAATGTGAACTGACTTCCCACATTTAGAAATTAAGAGATTGTGCTTCAGAGCCGGGGCTTCTGGATCCTTCGGGAAAAGCTGTCAGAAGCTCCGCCACATGGAGAGTGGCGCTTCATTTGCAGGCCCCACGTTAGGTCCCAGGTGACACCAAGTGCTCAGCCTCAACGCAGCCCCCACTCCTCCCTCAGGTCCTCCCAGGCCGCTTTGCTCCTGATCTTCTCTGTCTGGCCCCCAAAAGGCTTTGAGTTTGCTTCACTAGAAGTGTTACCTAAAAGCCTTAGAAATACCTACTCTTGGGGATTAAATTTGAGTTCCACAATTACCCTGAAAACTTCAAATTTAGTTATAAACTTGTCCTTCCTCACTTCTGCTTTCCTGAAAGGAGACAAACCCTTCCTCAGAGTGGTTTTTGTTCACAGTGTAATCACCTATTATGTGTAAATTGCCCTTCAACTTGGTAGATAAGTATTGAGTACCTCAATGCTGGTAATACATATATGTTAATTCATTTAATTCTCACAACAGCTGGAAGGTGAACATCGCTGTCCCACATATCAGGAAAGGGAAGCTGAGTTTCAGCAAAGAGACTTTCCCAGGCTCTAGCCAGTTTTGAGAGTGGTTTTTGTTCACAGTGTAATCACCTATTTTTATGTGTAAATTGCCCTTCAACTTAGTAGATAAGTATTGAGTACCTCAATGCTGGTAATACATATATGTTAATTCATTTAATTCTCACAACAGCTGGAAGGTGAACATCGCTGTCCCACATGTCAGGAAAAGGGAAGCTGAGTTTCAGCAAAGAGACTTGCCCAGGCTCTAGCTAGTTTTTCTCAGTGAATAGAGCATCGGCCTGTGAACTGAAGGGTCCCTGGTTCGGTTCCGGTCAAAGGCACATGCCTAAGTTACAGTCTCAATTTCCAGTAGGGGGCGTGCAGGAAGCAGCCAATCAATGATTTTCACAATTGATGTTTATATTTCTCCCTCCCTCTCATTTCCTCTCTGAAATCAATAAAAAAAAAATTTTGTTTTTTAAAAAAGAGACTTGTCCAGAACTACATAGTAAACGGGAGCTGGCTCTGACTGTTGCTCCCCAGATGGAGGTGCAGTGTTATCTTCATTATACAACACTGCTAATTGCTGCAGATAATTAGGGATTTTCTACCATATTAAAATCATTTTAGGTTACAGACACCCCCCACCAGAAGATAAGTGCTGTAGGAATATTGTTATGGTGTGGTATCCTTAATTAAAGTGAAAAAGGAACATGTTGTGGTAGAAAGTAAACAACTAGGAGTTGGATAACCTGGATTTGTCTAGGTCTTGTCAGTGACGCAGACAAGTCACTTTATTTTAGGACCTCCGTTTCTTCCTCTTTAAAATTAAGGCATTAGAGTAGTTAATCATCCCACTAGCTCTAAACTATGATACTTAAAGTCAGAGGTATGGATGACTGACCTACCAGAGAGGGTGGAGGTAAATTTTCATCTATTTCTTCCCTCCACACAAAGGAGAGGCAGAGTTTCACATAACCCACAGCAGAAGTTGGCTTGGTGTGGGCTTGGGTGGGCTGGTTTACCAAACAGTGAAGCTTCTGTTTCCTTACATTATCAGAACATGATCCACCCTGATCCCAGGGAGAGACCCTCTGCAGCAGCTCTGGCCAGAAGTCGGGTTCTCCGTCCCACCCTGGGGAAAACAGAAGAGCTCCAGCAGCAGCTCAACTTGGAAAGGATGAAGACAGCCACACTGGAAAGGTAGATTTTGGATGCTGCAGTTGAGAAAGAACCTCTTTATGAACTGCTCATAGTGATATGACTGGTGTATCTGCTTTGTGGTTTCACAAGTGGAACTCAACATTATAATACATAGGTCTCTGCCCACACAGAGACTAGCAGCATGCAGCCCTTTGTAGCACAGGGCTGGAGGCTCTGTGATTGAGAGAGAAAATTCAATTAATGCAAAGGAAGCAGAGTGAAGAATGCAAAGAAATACAACCAGTAAAGAAAACTTAGTGGGATTCTGAGTGACAACAGGTGTTCAAGAAACTGGTGATCTCCCAATTCGAGATATTCCTCCATTAAACAAATGGGATGGGCTGGTAAAAAGGTCAGACAGTGATGTCTGAGCAGAGTTCTGAAGGCATTTTAAAGTGATTTTTACATACACTGTGCACTATTAAAAATATAAAAGAAGATGGTCCATGTGTAAAATAAGCTTAGAAGTCCAACTTCTTATGGATACACAATCCATCGAAGAATAATTACCTTGAAAAGGCCACAACATGATGTATTGGCAATGAGTTGTGGAGACTTTAATCAGGCAATTGTTCCTAATAAGCAACTTACTATCATTTTGCTCTAGTTTTGTTTATAATAAGCAACTTACTATCTTTTTGCTCTAGTTTTGTTTATTAGCCAGGAAAATGGAATCCAAAATACAAATATTTATAGATATGATGTTACAGGAGTATAAGTTTTTCTTCGGGTGTGGTGTGTACATTCTGCAAAACCAGCTATGCAGGCACAGGTGACTGTCATCAGTCACTACCAGCAATGGACATCCATTATAGAGATGGGGCAGAGGCCTGCATGAAATTGTCTAGAACAGGGGTTGGCAAACTTTTCCATAAAGAGCCAGATAGTAAATATTTTACACTTTTGGGCCATGTGATCTTTGCTGCAACGACTCAACATAATGTAAAAGCAGCCATAGGCAGCATACAAGTGAATGGGTGTGGTTAAGTTTTCCAATAAGACTTCATCTATAAAAACAGGTGGCTGGCCAGATATGACCCATGGCCATAGCCTGCACTACAGGATAATCTGTAGTTCCCTCCTTATTTTTTTAAAAATATATTTTATTGATTTTTTACAGAGAGAAAGGGAGAAGGATAGAGTTAGAAACATCGATGAGAGAGAAACATCGATCAGCTGCCTCCTGCACACCTCCTACTGGGGATGTGCCCACAACTAAGGTATATGCCTTGACTGGAATTGACCCTGGGACCTTTCAGTCCGCAGGCCGACACTCTATCCACTGAGCCAAACCGGTTAGGGCCCTCCTTCTTATTTTAATATACTTTCACAAGAATGCATTCTCTCTGTTGATCTTAGTGAGAGGTTTATCTCTGATTTAGATTTCATAATGCTCATTTTCTCCGAGATTTCCATTAAGTTCTCTGCAGTAGCTGCACTGATATCCCAGGTCTGGACTTAATAGCCATGTGATCTTGCACAAGTTACTTCTCTGTGCCTCGGTTTCCTCATATGGTAAATATAGGTAGGGACAGTACCTACTGGACAGGGTTATTGTGAGATTAAATGGGATCACACACGTGGAAAACTCTTGGAACACCACTTAGAATGTAGAAAGGGCTCGATAAATGCTAACTATTATCATTATCATTATTTCCTACTTCTCAAAGCTTGAGAAGTTAAATCCAAGATACATTTTAAAAAAC